AAAAAAATATGCTCTCTTTTTTTGGCCTGAATTACAATATATTTCAAACTTATCTCAATCGGAGGGGGACATAGCATTCCTTGTTAGATATTACATTTCAAAAAATTCCATCGAAAAGTAAAATGTATGGATCAAAAGGAGGTATCTACTTTAGACAGCTGATTTTGAAGTCATTTTAACGAGTTTATTTCTACGAAATAAGAGCACTTAGAATATTGACTCGCATGTTTATGCATCTTTTGTTTTTAGAAAAATTTAGGTTTTGTTACGTTTTATGCGTATAATAAAAAAGATGTTATTGATTAAATATCAGCTGTTGAGAAAATTTTATCTGTATTGTCTCCAGGTTTGTACCCTCTCTACTGATCCGAAACATACCATCCAAATTTTATTGTGATCCTTATAAACGTGATTATGTCTCCTGCTTCAATGAAAAGTGTAATTTTATTGTTAACAAAATGACGGCTAGTAAAAAAAAATATGCTAAATTAACTATAGTTTTATCGAATTTTCAAGTTGTAAGTAAAGCTGAAAAAGTAAATTTGAAAATATTGACATAAAAATAATAGAGGATATAGCTATAGGGACATAGATATTATGAACATATGTTTTAAAGTAGAAATCAATCGATGTAATAGTTTCTGAGAAAACCCAAATATAAAGAGAACATTGAGAAACATAGTTTAGGAAAAACACGTGTAAAGTTTTAGTGTTTCACTAGAAATAGAAAAGTAATTTATTACCTTAGTCTATATCATATACATATTGCATCTTCTTCTTTAAGAAAACTTTCTTTAACTTCTCGTTATTCATTATAAATAAATGTAGCTTCAGTAAACTCACGGGATTTTTGTTGCTGAAGACAGTTTATTCGCCTGTCGTTCTGGATATTTGCAAACACTTTCGCCTGTTGTCTCATTGTTATCCCTATAAATGCCATTATTTGTAGGCTTTGATATATTTTATTAAATATGTGGACGGCAAAAAATGTTGAAATTTCTATCGCTCATAGTACACATACTGGAGTACACATGGAACCTGCTTTGGAAGAATTAAATCCAAGACTGGATATTTATTTCATTAAATTGTACATCATTTTAACACGTACGACATATAATTATAGCACTTATTGCGAAAAAAGAGAAAAGAACTCGAGAATGCAATAACCATACTGTTGATGGATACGAACTTCATTATCAGGCGTTTTTCGTACTTTTTCCGCAAATATACTTGCAAATCTAGTATCCGTTATTAATATTCTGCAGAATATTAATTTTCACGGAAATTTCGTTTTCTATTTTTTTTTTTAGTCGCGAACGAATTTCTTTGAAACCTTTGCGATCCGTTTTCTTTGTTTTATATGTATGTTACGTCTTGGAAGAAGATGTACGCAACAAACATCGCATACTTGCGTACTCGCGAGGTCTAAACGTACTGGCAGGTCTGCGGATCAGGTCAAGGCCCGGAAAGGCCCATTTACTCCGATCGCAGAACGTACGTTAGGTGGTTCTTTATTTAGATCAAAGAACATAATCTCTTTACCTGGGATAGGACCATATGAGCGTGTTGAGAGGAGAATTTAGATTTAGGTAATTGAGAGGAAATGAATAAATAGTTTTAACGACTTGATTAAATTTAGGGCATTTTGAATAAAATAGTTTATTAATAATATAATTTGGTTCTCGGATGGATTAATAATAGTAGTAAATTGATAAGAAAAGTCATTATAAAAGATACAACATTTAAAAGATGAAAGGGTTAGCTAAAGTTAAACAATGAGATATGTGGGTTAACATCAAACAACTTTTATAAATCAGCATTATTGGAATAATGCGAATACAAGATGAAGATTAAAGTAAGATTAAGTAAAAAAGTAATCCGTGTAACTTAATATAACACAATCGGATTTATCGTGACAAGAATATTTAACGTATCGGTATGGCGAGAAAAATATAATTATATAATACAAGGAAGATAATAATTACGCAGTGGATGTGTGTGTTTTAAGGAGTGAAGTGGGATTGGAGATTGGATTGAAACGATTAAAAGTCATATTTAAATATGAAATAGAGACATACGATTTAGGTGAATCAACTGTGGTGAATAGTATATAGAACATGGGTTCGTTGATCGTGGTGTACCGGATTTCTGGGACCTCGGAATACCGAGAGAAATAGTTCACTTGAAGAGATCCCGACTTGAATAGCGAGTTGTTCAGCAGCAGCAGAAGAAGAAGAAGAAGAAAATTGACTGACTAACTGACTGACTGACTGACTGACTGACTGACTCTGGAGAGATTCCGATTTGAACAGCGAGTTATTC